GGGAGTAAAGCCATCTAAACATATATCAGGGTTTACAGCTGTTTCTATGGTTACTCTATTTGTGGAAAGATCGGTACTAGTCGAGGGCAGGAGATTATTAATGTTCTCTCTAATAATTATAATCTTATCATTAAAGAAGTTCATGGAGTCATTGCTACTGAGGTATTGAGAAGCTTTGTTGGGTTTTATTACTATTTTTTATTGTTTTGGTGTAATTTAATATCACGCTGAAGCGCTTATCTCATTTGATCTCTGACAAAGCATCCAAATCAATTTGAAAAAAGCAATAATTTAGTCATGAACAAGAACAGAGTATTGACTGAAGAGTAGCACCTTAAAGTAAGTAAATCCTAAAGATCTCTTTCTCTCACTGAAAGCCAACATAGAGTGTGATCTCACACACTTCCAGTAATCTAGTCTAGAAGTAACAAATGCACAAACTCATCTTTCTGTATTGCTTTGAGACAGGATGTGCCTGATTTTTTTTTTTAAATGATATGTAGGTGAAAAAAGGCAGTCCTTGAAATTTGTTTCATTTAGTCTGAGTTCAACAACAGGAAGTAATGAAAGCTTGTGACATTTTATATAATTTAAATATATATATATGTGTGTGTGCGTGTGTGCGTGTGCGTGTGTGTGCTTGCCTGCAGCTGTAGGTGATTCACTTCCTGTGAACACCTGAGATCAAATCAGCTGCAGGCTGTCAGAGCTCAGAACACCTGAGACTCATGAGCCTGAACTCTCTGGGGTGTGAGAGCCTTTAGACTCAAACAATACAGCCTCAGACGATCACAACTGATCAGCTGTCTTAAGATCCACAACATCAGTCAGGTCACAGATCTGATCAGAGATTTGTCTCTAAAAGTTCTGGGACAGTAAAGTTATCACTTCCTTCCTCTGCAAACAATCATTTTAAATATCAAAACATCAGTGTGGTGGATTTGAGTGTCCCTTGTTGTCTCTAGTGTCTCAGGTAGACTCTCTTGTGGACTCTGATGTCTCTGGTGGACTGTGGTGTCTCTGGTGGTTTCTTTGATGGAGTGTGGTGTCTCTAGTGGACTCTCTGGTGGACTGTGTCTTTGGTGGACTATAGTGTCTCTGGTGGACTCTCTGGAGGAGTGTTGTCTTTGGTGGACTGTGGTGTTTCTGGTGGACTCTCTAGAGGTGTGGTGTCTCTCATGGTCTCTGGTTTCTCTGGTGGACTCTCTGGTGGAAACACCTACCTGACGACAAACTACAATAACCAGCTTCCTGTACCTCGCACAGTCTCAAACCTCCAGCAAGAGAGAGGAGGATGTCACAGTCCTGCAGAGAGACAGGTGAGTCCGGCCTGGTATCTGGTTTAACTTCTACCCGGTACCTGGTTTAACTTGAACCAGGTACAGACACGGGTCAGTAATATGTCAGTAGAACAGAGTTCTTCACTTATCTTTAATAAGAGTGGACATGGAGAATAAAAACAAGCAGCAAAAGTTTGTTTCCAATAACTGATCAGCTGAATCTCTTCACAGATCAATAATTCACAGACCAGCGGTGAAGAGAAAGAAGTTGATCAATGATCGTCAGCGTTGGTGGCAGTCGAAGCTCTTCAGAAGATGAGAACTCTAAAGGTCTTCGTCTTCCAGCTGAACCTCCTGCAGCTCGTCTGGTATTTGAGTTAAAGGTTGAGGATCTCCTCTCACACCGAGTCCTGCTGAGTGAAGTCTTCCTTCAGGTCCTCAGGCCAGGATGTGAGTTATTATGACCTGGTCTGGACTCTGAAGTGAGTCTGTTTTAAATGTCCACATAGAGACAGAGGATGTATCGTTTAAATGTAGAGATTTTAGATATCATCAATAATAATAATAATAATAATAATAATTAGAATGCTCTGTTCTCAACATTACAAAAGAAAAAGAAGTCAAGATATTTAGTGCTAATCAGAAATTGCAAAGAGAAAAATATCCGCCAGCGTCCGTTTTCCCTCAACGGTCAGAATGAAAGCTGCAGGTTTCTGTCTTCTCTTCAGCTGGTTTATTGTGTATAAAGAAGAAAAGAGACCAATCACAGGCTTGTTTCATCATCACGTCTGTCATTCACACTCGGAGTCCGTCCAGTCACCTGTCCAGGTGTTTCAGGACATGTTTCAACAGCTTCACTCAATATATCCAGCAGGTTTGGTGAAGTTTGGACAAACTGTCACTGATTTATGGACAGATTTGTACCAGGTTCAGCGACGGGTCCATCTGGTCCGACACCACTAGGTTCAGAATCAGGTCCATCTGGTCCCACACCACCAGGTTCAGTTACTGACATAGACTGACACAGACTCTGAGTCCATGGCCGGAACAGACTCCGGATCAGATCCCAGAGCAGATCCCGGTGCTGGTTTCATCTGACCCCGGCAGATCAATCTATTTTAATACATTTACAAATGTTATACAAAAGTGTAGTTAGTATGAATTCCTGATGTGTTTTGAATAAAAGTCCTTTTTATGATGTAGTGAAGAGGCTGATGAACAGGCCCCCCCCCTGCCCCCACCCCCGCCCCTGTGGGGGAGCAAGGACTTTGTAACAGACTGACAAGCAACAGCAGGACTCCAACAGAGAGTTCTTTGTTTCCTCCTCTCGGAGCTGCTGCTGGAGTTCTTCTTCCTTTAACCAGTAATCTGAGCTGATTACTGATCAATAATCATAATCATAATAATCAGAGAAGCTGCAGATCAACAGGACAGACAGATCAGCTGGATGGTAAGACTGTTTTTGAGATTAAATTCTGCTTTAAAAACCGCTGTGTTTTTCAGTTTGTTCAGATTTAAATGTTTTAATAGTTACTGAAGAGGCTTTAATAAAATTAACTACAATCAGATTCACATGTTTGTCCCACAGTGAACACTATATATTATTATATTTACATATAATAAATATTATTACTTTGGGACATTGAAAGTAAAAAACAATCGATTTTAAAGCAAAACAAAAAATAATGCAAAAGAGAGAAATAATCCTGTTTTTCACAATAATCCTGATTTTTAGTGGATGATTTTCACAAAAAGAACCGCTCAGTGTTTCTGTTGTTTGTTTATCTTCAGAATGAAAATGATTTTTAATGCCATTTATAATGCTATTAAGTATTTTCTGCAAATTAAATCAAAGATTCAGGGTCCCTACTAAATATATATTTACAGAAATTTAAGATTATAATATATAATTATATAGGTAATTATATATATATGGGATATGCTGTATAAGGAGGTAAATATAACTTGTTTTGACACTGTTTACAGTAAAATAACTGTTTCTATTTTTTTCTTCCTTTTGTTCTAAAGGATCAACTCCTCCTTTATCACCTCCTCTTGTGTCCTCCATCATTGTTCATCTTCCTGGATCTGGACGGTCTCCTGTGTTTATTTAGGAGTATTAAATTTTTCCTTCCTCTGATCGGACTCCTTGTTGGACAGTTTGACGTCTGGATGTTAGACTGTTTGAAGTCTCTTCGTTGGACTGTTTGAAGTCTCTTCGTTGGACAGTTTGAAGTCTCTTCGTTGGACAGTTTGAAGTCTCTTCGTTGGACAGTTTGATGTCTCTTTGTTGGACAGTTTTAAGTGTCTTCGTTGGACAGTTTTGAGTGTCTTCGTTGGACAGTTTGTTGTCTCATCTCGGACAGTTTGACGTCTCTATGTTGGACAGTTTGACGTCTATGTTGGACAGTTTGATGTCTCTTCATTGGACAGTTTTTCGTCTCATCTTGGACAGTTTGACGTCTCTTCGCGTGACGTCTCTTCGTTGGACAGTTTGCCATCTTATCTTGGACAGTTTGACATCGCTTCGTTGGACAGTTTGACATCTCTTCATTGGACAGTTTGACATCTCTTCGTTGGACAGTTTGACATCTCTTCGTTGGACACTTTGAAGTCTCTTCGTGGGACGTTTGACATCTCTTCGTTGGACAGTTTGATGTCTCTTCGTTGGACAGTTTGAAGTCTCTTCGTTGGACAGTTTTTCATCTATTCATTGGACAGTTGGACGTCTCTTCGTTGGACAGTTGGACGTCTCTTCGTTGGACAGTTTTAAGTCTCTTCGTTGGACAGTTTTAAGTCTCTTCGTTGGATAGTTTGACGTCTCTTCATTGGACAGTTTTTCATCTCATCTTGGACAGTTTTAAGTCTCTTCGTTGGACAGTTTTAAGTCTCTTCGTTGGATAGTTTGACATCTCTTTGTTGGACAGTTTGTTGTCTCATCTTGGACAGTTTGTTGTCTCTATCTTGGACAGTTTGATGTCTCTATGTTGGACAATTTGACGTCTCTTCATTGGACAGTTTGACGTCTCTTCGTTGGACAGTTTGACGTCTCTTCGTTGGACAGTTTGTCGTCTTATCTTGAACAGTTTGACGTCTCTTCATTGGACAGTTTGACGTCTCTTCGTTTGACAGTTTGAAGTCTCTTCGTTGGACAGTTTGAAGTCTCTTCGTTGGACAGTTTGACTTCTCTTCGTTGGACAGTTTGAAGTCTCTTTGTTGCACAGTTTGACATCTCTTCATTGGACACTTTGAAGTCTCTTAGTTGGACACTTTGAAGTTTCTTTGTTGGAAACTTTGAAGTCTCTTCATTGACAGTTTGACGTTGCTTCGTTGGACACTTTGACATCTCTTCGTTGGACACTTTGACGTCTCTTCGTGCGACAGTTTGACATCTCTTCGTTGGACAGTTTGACATCGGTTCGTTGGACAGTTTGACATCTCTTTGTTGGACACTTTGAGGTCTCTTCGTTGGACACTTTGAGGTCTCTTCGTTGGACACTTTGACGTCTCTTTATTGCTGTCTTCTTAGAGATGATGTCTCTCTGGTGTCTGAGCATGCTCAGTGTGTTCGTCCTGTCACTGTGGGAGGAGCCAGGCTGTGAGGCAATGACCCTGAACTCCGTCCTCCTTCGTCAGGTTTCAGGAAGAGGATGCGATGGAGGACTAAGACGAGGAGCAGCAGCAGGTGTCCACAGCTACCAGAGGAGGAGGAGGAGCTGGGTATGGAACCAGTTCTTTGTTCTGGAGGAGTACACCGGAGATGAGCCGCTGTACGTTGGGAAGGTACAAAAATACTTTGATTTATGTAAATTATACTGACAGATGAATCAGATCTGAGAGTTTAGACTTCAAGAACACGTTCTCTGTAACATTGTTCACATGTTCAGATTATGTGTTAGGGTATCAGTTATCTCTGATAGTTTACCGGTTGTTATCTTTGATAGTTTACTTGGTTTTCTCTTAAGGTTTACCCTGATTATCTCTAAATATTTACCCAGTTATCTCTGATAGTTTACCCAGTTATCTCTGATAGTTTACCCGGTTATCTCTGATAGTTTACCCGGTTATCTCTGATAGTTTACCCGGTTATCTCTGATAGTTTACCCGGTTATCTCTGATAGTTTACTCGGTTATCTCTAATAGTTTACCCAGTTATCTCTAATAGTTGACCCGGTTATCTCTGATAGTTGACCCGGTTATCTCTGATAGTTTACCCAGTTATCTCTGTTAGTTTACCCGGTTATCTCTGTTAGTTTACCCGGTTTTCTCTGTTAGTTCACCTGGTTATCTCTGGTAGTTTACACGGTTATCTTTGATTGTTTACCTGGTTTTCTCTCATAGTTTACCTGGTTTTCTCAGATTTTTTACCATGTTGTTGTTGACCATTTCCGTGGTTGCCTCTGGTCCCTGCAGATCCACTCTGACATGGATAAAGGTGATGGTCAGGTGAGGTACGTCTTGAATGGTGAAGGAGCAAAGTCAATTTTCACCATCGATGAGAACACAGGAGACATTCATGCCACCAAGAGGCTGGACCGGGAACAGCAGGCGTACTACACCCTGAGAGCGCAAGCTCGAGACCAAAATACCAACCTGCCCATCGAACCTGAGTCCCAGTTCGTCATCAAAGTCCAGGACATCAATGACAATGAACCCAAGTTCCTGGATGGACCGTACACCGCCAGGGTGGCTGAGAGGTCTCCAGTAGGTGAGTCTGAACACCTGCAGACTAAAGGAGGGGTTTAGTTTAGCAAAGAGTACCTGTTGACACTGATCTAGGACTTCATCAGCTGAGAATATATGAAGTGATCAGGCACTCTACTTGTCCCAATATAAACTGATCTGTAATGGAGGTGAAAGGAAACAGGAACAGAAACGTCTTCAGTAGATTCTCTAGAACCTCTTACATGATGCAAATATATTCAAGTACATTTCTTCAGGTACGGCAGTTAAGTACAACAGTATCTGTATTTTATCCACCTTTAAACTTCTACTCCACCACATTTATTATATTGTTTGTAAAATAGCATCAGTAAATAAGTTCATATTATCTGCACCATAATGCATCATTTATGATGTTCCAATAATATAATATTAAATAGTGTAGTAACATTCACAGTTTTATACATTACGTGTAACAGCATGGAAATCGAACATTTTGAATTAACCATAAACACTTAGCTGTACTTATCAATAACCTTGTTTATATTTTTTTACATTATGCATGTTCAATATATTTGGGATTTGTGGATTTCTGTTCCTGCCATTTTTTATTCTTGCACCTTTATTGAGGTTTTGTATTTACAGTCTTTAAATTTGCACTTGTCCCTACTTTGTACTGCAACTGCTGTTTCCCTCTGGAGAAGTTATTAATAATAGGTCTATCTATCTATAAATAATAACCTGTTATTGGTTTTATTTGTTTTATTTTTCTCAGATGGACATTTTTATTGCTTCTCATATTTTTTGTTGTCATATGTAATGGAAATTTGGACTACATACATCATTGATCAGGCAGAACATGTGAAGAAACCTGTGTTTTACCTCTCAGTAAAGATTTGATGATGAGTCGACTCAACATCTGAGTCCGACTGCAGAAGCTTCAATAAAATTCACAGAAAGACAAACGTTGACTTTATGCTTTATTCAACAGAAATTGCCACCACACATATTTATTGTATTATATTTTATATATCTTTTTATATATACTATATATTTTCCTTCTTTCATGGAGCAAAGCCTTTCGCACGACTGTACTTGTATGTATGTATGTATGTATGTGTAAATATATATATATATATATATATATATATTGTATAACCGGAGTGACAAACATTTTGAATCTTGAATCTATCTTATCTTAGATTTTGCCAATCATACTTACATACTTTTACTTCAGTTACATTTTCAATGCATGACTTTGACTTTATGATTCTTATATTGCAGTTTTGCTACTTTCAGTTCAATAAATGATCTGAATACGTCCTCCACCTCTGATTAAGCACTACAAACTGAAAAATATTGAAATCCAGTTTTCACAAACCAGAGACATCTTTTAGCAAGTAAATATTCTTTATTGATACTTTTCAACACAAGCAGCTGCATGAGCACCAATAAATGAAAGAATAACTTAAAACCAGTTTCACAGCCTGTAAAGTTGTTTATTAATTTATTTATTTGTCTTTTTTCACTTTTAAATGACGAAATCTTTGATTTATACAAAGATTTGTACAGTAGTTTTGTTCATTGATGTTTTTTTGTTGGACAACGTGTGTACTTAGTTCTATATTATGGAAAATCTCATAATCAACACAGTATAAATGTGTTGTTCTATTCTAAATAGTTTGTGCATACTGGGGTCGCTTCACAGTCTTGGAATTACATAAATTGGATTTATGTGTGATGATGTTAGTCCCCATTGAAGACATTTCATGGTATTCACTAGAAACCTAGGTCATTCACAGAGTTTTATGGTGTTTCTTAAGTCTTGGTGTTATTTTGAAGGACTTTTTGGTGGATTTTTTAAATAATCGAAGCCCTTATATACTCTAAACTTTCAAAATTTGAATTGGCACCTAAACAGAAAAACTTGACACACGATACTGAGCTGCATCTCAAATCAATCCTCAGGTGCCCAGCTTTCAGATGATGTACTGTATATGAAGTATATAGATGGTATTTCATTTCTATGTGACTTGTTGACCTGCTATCTATAAGACCCCCCCCCCCCCCCCAAAAAAAAGACAAAACAATGTTGAAGAGGGGTGGAATACAAAGGGTCACAATGAGGAACATTAATCCTGTGACTAACAACACAGCGGACACTGACATGAGAGATAAATACATTTAAGAAAGATTGACTTCTCATTTCTAGTCAATACAGCAAATAGAATTGAGTTACTTGAACTTGGAGTAAATTAGCAAAAGTAGAGCTTCTGGAGGACAAAGAGTGCACAGGTATAAATCCAATGTTTTCCATGTTTTTTCATGAGGAAGAGGAGTAGCAGCTGATGAAGAAAAATAAGTCTGACCTCAGTTAAATCATTTTATTTTTCTCTGCAGGTACGTCAGTAGTGACGGTTGTGGCAACAGATGCTGATGATCCCACTTATGGAAACTCTGCCAGAGTGGTTTACAACATCCTGCAGGGTCAGCCATACTTCTCTGTGGAGCCAAAGACGGGTCAGCACAACACCTGAGCACAACACCTGAATACAACACCTGAGCACAACACCTGAGCACAACACCTGAGCACAACACC